GTGGGTGAGAATGCTCTTTGAGTCTCTTTGTTAACTTCAGCTTGCCCCTCTTCTTCCTCAGAACAAAAGGCCCATCGATTTCCTGAGCAGGCCCAGGCTCTATTCCTGCTTTGTGCACTGGGGCACCAGGGATAGCTGAGGAAACTGCCCTGGCCTACTTCTCTGGCTTAAAATGGCGCAGACAATCCCCTTAGTTGGACCTGCCTCCTGGGAGTCCCAAGGAATGTCGATGATCTTTTGCAGTCTCGTAGGCAAGAACTGCAGAGGTCATAAGTATTCTGTGTTTCCAGGGAATCTCGGAATCAGACCAGACCATACGAGTGAGCCTAAAAAAAAACTGGTCCATCACCTGGGAATGATTGCTGGGGGCACAGGTAAGGGCCTTCTAGGGTCTCCAGAGAGCGAGCCCTGAGACCATACTGACTTGGAAGTTATTTGATCCTAGAAGGTACAACATTAGAGATTTCTCCCCCAGCTGTAGTAGGTGGGAAGGATGAACCAGTGACAGGTCTTGAAACTGACCTTGTGTGCCCTGCTTCCCCTAACCAATATGGTGGCTGCTCAGGAGCCTTGGTGGGGACCTTACAGGTCAGGCTGGGGTCAAAGCTGGACAGGCCCACCCATGCTGTCCCAGGAGCTCGTGGATCCAGTTCAAGCCCGACTCTTCCCATCCCTTGAAAATGAATGCCTGAAGGAAGAGAACAGTCTTGAAGGAGACACACAAAGTGCCAGGCACCGTAACAGGCACTCTGAAAAGTATCACATCTACTCCTCATCATTAATTGTTTGATGAATGAGGACACTGAAGAGCTTAGAGTGTTCTTTCCATCCAGCCATATGAAAATGAGAAAGACCTCTGACTTACTGTTGCATTAGAAACGAAAATCAAAATCAAGGGCTGTTCTCCACTTTGAGTTTTGGGGACAGAAGTGAGAAAAGGATAACTGGGGCCAGAGGAAGGTATGAAGCTTGCTGCAGGTCAGGGACTGTGGGCTTCAGAGATGGGGAGAAAGCTGGCTGCCCGCTCACTGTTTTCCAGGAATCACACCCATGCTGCAGCTCATTCGCCACATCACCAAGGACCCCAATGACGGGACCAGGATGTCCCTCATCTTTGCCAACCAGGTCAGTTCCTGCTGAGCTTGCAGTGGTATGATGGAATGTTTGCTGAGCTGGGCTCTTGTTTTCATTTCTCCTCCATTGACTGAGCTCATGCTGCTTGGGTGCCTGTGGCTGTGGGAGGGCTTAGCGGGATCAACAGAGCTGCTGGCAGCTGGCGAAGCTGAGTCCAGGCCTGCTTTTTGCTTGTATTTAACTCTTTTGTGTCTCCTCAACCAACCCTGAGCCTGGAGCACTCCTTTCTTGCTTAGTATGTATTGCTGTGTTTTTGCTAAGTACAAAATTACAGATGTCCTCAGTGGACATTTGAGAAAATACAGAATATAAATATGTTTACTTTTTTTTTCTATATATGCTATATATTTTTAATTTATATATATTTTTTTCACTCAGCATTACCACACAGGCATTTTCTTCTCATTAAGATGCTTTATAAATATTTTCATCATAGTCTCTATCAAGTTGCACCATAATCTACTAACTTCTACATTCAAGCTGTTTTCAGTTATAAATAATATGGTGATGAATATTTGTGCCTACGCTTGATTACATTTTTAGATTATTTTCTAAAACAGAATCCCAGAAGTGGAATTACTGGGATGAGAATCATGAAGAGTTTTAAGATCCAGGCCTTCTGTGCAGTATCTTTGAGGCTGTGACAGGTTATTTTTGGCTTTGGCTCCTTTTTCCCCAAATGAAACTCCAGACTGTTTTCTCTCCTTCACGTATCTAGTGCTGTTCTACCACAGGATTTTCTGAGCCCATTACATTTCTTGCAGAAGATCCTGGGCCTGCACTGAGCTTGTTCCACTTGGGTTTGCTGTGCTAGAGCTCATTGTAGACGTAGCAGGTAGGGCTGGAGCTCTGAGTGAAGCCACCTTGGCCAGTGCTTGGCTAAGGCCCTTCTAGCTGGAGGCAGTCATTACAGCTCTGTGGGAACCTACATCCTACGGCCAACTCCATCCACAAGACAGAGGGTTTGATCTGCAGAAGCAGTAGCAGAACTGTTGTTTGCCCTGGGAGTTGGCAGCGAGTACTCCAACTGGAGTGGCGGCAGCTTTGGAAAGAGTGTCCTGACCAGTGTAGTCAGTCTGGGGAACAACAGGATGGTCCTGGAGGGGCTTTTCTAGTGTTGCTTCTTTTCTAGACAGAGGAGGATATCTTGGTCAGAAAGGAGCTTGAAGAAATTGCCAAGACTCACCCAGACCAGTTCAACCTGTGGTACACCCTGGATAGGCCTCCCATTGGTACGATATCCAATGCCCTCACCCACCACGGATCAGCTTCAACCCTTGACTACTTTGAGGACTGGTCTTTGTTTCTTTGTTTTTGTTTTATAGGACCAGATATGGGGGTGAAGCCTTGGGTTTTGGCTTCAGATGAGAAATGTGAGAAATTGAGGGAGAGAGGATTTGGGATGGCTTGCTGTTAAGGGCAATCAAGAGCAGGTGTCCAGTATACCAGCAACACCCCACATACTGCACTGAACATCAAAAGGGACACTGCCCCTGGCCACTCTGAACAGCCACCCAACTCCACACGGCCATCACACACACACCTAATATGGGCACTGACCCCTTCACACTCACACCTCTGCTTACGGCCACCACACCTCTCACCACCCACCTTACCTGGACAGCAGTCTTCACATGCTGAGCCCCCAGACAGCTGCTGCAGCCCCAAACAGCATCCCAGCAACCACTGTGCACAGAGCACCCCACACTGCACCCAGCTGTTCCTGCTTTTCATACAGCTCCCTGCTCAGCAGAGTGAGCTACCCAACTGAGCAATTCTGAGCAGTTCCACTAACACCAGGCCACACCCTGCTGGACAACTCCAGCTGGCTGCATTGATTCACACACCTCGGTATACTTCATTGTGTTCTCCTTCCTTGTCATTGCTGACAGCTGACAGATGGGGGGTGGGGCTCAGGTTCCCTGCAGTGAGCCTGGGTCCTGGGGTGACTGCTGCAGAGGGCTATTTACCAGTTCTGAGACTTTTGGCAGGGAGCAGTAGTACAGAAACTTCTAAGCCTTTGTAGAGTGGCCTGTCACCTCCTGCCTGGCTGAGGGTGGGTGTGCAGGCGGCCTGGGGTCAGGAACTCCACCTGGCATCCCAAAGCTTTTTCCTGCATCTGCTTCATTTCAGACTGGAAGTACAGCTCAGGCTTTGTTACCGCTGACATGATCAAAGAGCACCTTCCTCCTCCAGGGAAGTCCACACTCATCCTGGTGTGTGGCCCGCCGCTCCTGATCCAAACAGTGGCTCACCCTAACCTGGAGATGCTGGGCTATACCCAGGACATGATTTTCACCTACTAACACCTCCATGTGCTCAGCAAATTTACATGTCCCTTTTCATCTGTTTCAGAGTGAGTTCAATTTTACCACGTTAAACTGGGATGTTTTCAAAAGTGCCTTGCCATGTACTTGCGTGCACACACTGGTTCTCCTCTCTTTTGGGTGTGGGCTTGACAAGAAGGGCTCAAGGGGCTGGAGACTGGCTGCTGAGCCCTCCTTGCTTGGAGGCTGGAAAGAGCTCCATTTCAGTAGCTTTCTCTGTGGTTTTGTGAAATAAACTCAAGTACAAAGCAGATAGCCCATGAAGTGTGGCTCTGTGCGGGACCTGGTAGGCAATCAGGAGGTCTTGGCCTGCCCTGTGAGTTGGCTTCTGCATGCCCATGGGGGTCAGAACTGGCAAGTATCAGGGCAGTTCCCAAAAAAATCCAAGTGGGGTCACATCAACTCTTAAGACTCTCTCCATGGCATGGTAGGGGTGGTTATATACAGAAACGTCTCAACTTTCAAAATCAGGTTTCAGAAACTGTGCCTTCAATCCTTTGTATCATGAAACCCAAATGATATGAGTGACCACGTGGCCATCTGCGGTTCATGGCCAGGTTCATGTCATCATGGCCAGGATGACACACTGCTGCTCTGCTACCTGTGAGTGAGTAGAGCTGCTTCTGCCCTGTTTCAGAAGTCTTATAACTAGCCAGAGATTCTGTAGGGATTTTGTTTTCCAAATTATAGATGAGGAAACTAAGACTTGAGGACTGTGTTCCCAGGTCATTCAACCAGTAGGTAGCAAAGCTGGCCTTAAACCTGGGTCTGCTTTATTCTAAGTTGTTCTTCTTTTCACAAAAACTGGCATAATGGTGGCAATGTTGGAACTTGGTGTCACTGGATTTCTTACTCAGTGTGCATGTGCATGAGGGAGAGGGGAGGGGAGAGAGGAGAGGAACAGGGCTCTGGGGAGCTCTCTGTACAGCTGTGTTTTGCCCTCAGGTGGCCAAGCACAGAGATGGCCTCACAGAGGGCCTGTGGGGGTAGAAGAGAGGGGTGGCCAACCTTACCCATCCACCTGTTCAGTTGCCTCCTTGGGGATCCTTCACTGCTTTCAAGGGAGTCCCCACTCTGGCCACCCCATCTCTCCAGGACATACTCCAGGGCTTGGCTCCCAAGGCCTTTCTTGATTTGGCTCCTGCTGACTTTATCAGATTTTTCTTTCCCTGGGCCCCCAACTCCAACACCATTCTCTCACCTAGTTGTTCTCAACTGAGGGTAATTTTGTTGCTCAGGAACATATGACAAAGTCCAAAGACATGTTGGTTGGGGTTCAAAGAAGGGGTGCATCTAGCCTCTGTTGGCATTTACAGGGTAGAGACCAAGGATGCTGCTAAACATCTTAAAAGCCACAGGATAGCCTCCATCACAGAGAATTATGCAGCCCAAAGTGACAGCAGCACAGAGACCAAGAAACCATCTTCTAGCCTACCAACTTTTGGCAATTCCTAGGTTGTGCTAGGCTGTTTCAAGTCTGTCTACCTGGAATGCCCTTCCCCTTTGGCATACGTGGGGAAGTATGATTCATCTTTCCAAATTCAAGTGTCACCTCTTCCATGGAACCTATTCTACTCCTTCCCCAAACCCCCATTAAAAATGACAACATGCTCCTTTAGGCTGCAAAGAAACTAATATTGGAGCATCCATAACCTTTGGCACAGTCTTGTTTGAAACTGGTCTGTACTACCCCACTAGACTGTAAGCATCTTTAGGCAGGGACCTTGGCATTCATGCCTATATCTGGCCCCAGCATGGAGGGTACATACCACACACATGAAGGAGTGTGGATGGGAAACTTAAGAGCATGGATCTCCTTGGCAACTGGAGGCCTGTCTATAAAGGAGGCAGCCCAGAGCAAGTGCTCCAGGTTTGTGGTAAGGATTGGGTATAGCAAGACAACAAGGGACTTCAAGGCAAGCTGTGCTCTGGCTCAAGGGCAGACACGTGGGAGAGCTGACCTCTAACTGGATCATGTGGGAAGGCTTCCTGAGAGGTGGTCTCTTTGCCAAGCCTTGAGAGACAGGATTTTGCCTGATGAAGTGGAGTAGGAGAAAAATGCATTCCCCAGTGAGGGAAGGGCCTGAGTAGACACCTGGAGGGAGGAAAGACTAGAGTGTCTGGAGAGGAAACAGACATGTTTGGGAAGTTGGTGAGTTTGTGGTGGAAACCTGGAGCTTGAGGTGCCCGAGGGCCTTCCACTAGGGGGTGCTGTTTAATCAGACATTATGCTTGAGCTGCTTGGAGGGCAAGGCCTGGGAGGCTGTGTGTCTGCTTGGGTGGAGAGGGCACAGCGTGGTGTTGGGCTTGCCTCTGCTGAGACGCTAGGAGGGTGCACTGATACCCATTGCAGATGAGGGGCGATGGAGTCAGGCAGGACTGTGGAAAGGTGCCTCATGTTTTTCCCACTCACACCCTAAACACCCGCCTTGTTCCGCCACAGTCCCGTGAATGGAAAGGCACGTTCCTGTGAAGCAGCCCCGGAGGGAGTTCCTGGTGATCATGTCACAAAACGCAGTCACTACAGAACATTCAAAACAGGTTTTCAGAACTTTTTTTCCAGCAGGTTTTATGAACTAACAGCTCTTCCCCTCAGGTGTGAGAGCCTCCAGGCTGTCACCAGAAATAGCACGAGGCATCCAGTCTGTGTGCTGACAACTCACTGCCCTCCCACAAAATGGTCTGCAGTCCGGGTATAAAAGTACAAAAGGTATAAAGCCTGTGGTGAAGAGCGCAGCCCGGTTGAAGACACACATGAACTCTGGGGCCACCCCTGGACACCTGTCCCACAGCTCTGCTTCGTGCCTGTCGGCACCCTGTCCAAGATGCCCTGCCAGTCCGACCGGGCTTGCAGAGGGGGCTGCCAGCTCCCCACAGAAGCAAAGGCTCTGGGCCCCCACACGTGCCTCCCTGGGCTTTCAGCCATGAAGAGAGTCATCTCCAGTCATCAGAGTTGGGGACAGGCAGATGAGAGTCATTCAGCAGCTGGTCCTGGCTCAGCATTGTCTGAAAGGACACAGCCGAAGGGGCAGTTCAACAGAGTTTTGGTCCAGGCTGCCCTGCAGCAGCTACATGGGAAGCAGAGGGCCCAGGGTGAGGGCTGCATCTGATGCAAGTGCACTATAAGTTTATGGTGTCCCAAGAAACCCTGAGTATTAGGTTAGAATAAACACACTATTAAGATAAAAATAAATTGTTCATCTTAGAAATACATTTCCCATTTTCAGGCTACCAAAGGCCTAGATCATAAGGGCAAGTGTGGGCAGATTCATGCATGGGCCAATAAATAAAAAAGTTAAATAAAAGTGATCCTGTTTGGAGTCAGCGAGACTTTCCTGTTTTGTCCTTGGATACAAAGACACTCTTGTGTCCCTGTCCTTGTCCTGTCTTCCCAATGTGCCGTGCTAGACAAGCAGATAAAGTACAGTGACAAGGCCTTGATGGGAACAGACACTGTAGCCAACAGGCTCAGTGATGGGATGTCCAAGAACTAAAAGGCCTTGGGAGTTATGGGCCTTCAAAAACAAATCCTATGCACTGTGACTGCGCTCTGTGGCTGGCTTTTCCTGCCAGCTCTAGTCTGCCTGTAAGCCTGGCAAGGAGGATGTCATTATCCCTGCTTTACATATAACTAAGCCAAGGCTCAGGAGAGAATGGCACTTGAGGTCACAGAGCTAGTAAAGTCAGAGCAGGGACTTGAGCCACACTCCAAAGCTGCTTTTCGAGGCCAAGCTGTTTCCCCATTATATGGTTTGTCCTTTCGGGCATGCCAGGATGTGCTCACAAGCCTGCGAACACATTGTGATACCCCCAAAGTCAGAGGCAAGCTAGGATATGCATGTGTCTCTGGGCAGAGGGTGGAAGCGTCCACCAGGAGAGGATGCAGGCTGGGCTCTAGACTGATGAGACAGGTGATCCAGAGCTGCTAAGCATCTTGGTTTCCTCACCTCTGAGCCTGGGAATAGGACCTGAGACCTAGTGTGTACTTTAGCTGGCTTTGGCTAAAGGCCCATGAGCCTCCCCATTGCCGGTAGGGGCTCAAGATCCAGCAACAGGCCAATGGAGGAGGCCCCTGGGCTGCTTTCTGCCTCGGGGCTGGCTCAGGCTCAGGCTGTGACCCCAGCACTGAGCACCCTTCTTTGCTGTCCCCCGGGCCTTGTACACTACCATACCAACTCACTGGGCCTCCCTGGCACCAGTCTGACTGTGGGGAGAGGGTCAGAGTCCTACCGTAAGGCGGTGAATGTCTTGGGAGAGGAGCCCTATCTGCGTCACGGTACCTTCCGAAGGTGCCATCTGTAAAATGAGCAGCAGCTTGGTCAGCATACATGGATGCAGCTCGTGATTCACAGAGATGGCATGCAAGTCCTGTCCTGCTCAAGCCTGGCTTCTCCAGGGCATGCTCCCCTGGAGGGATGGGCAAGGAGTGGGCCAGGCCCTGAGGAGTGACAGGTGGGTGGAGCACATGCTGCCGCTTCTATTCCTGGGGAAAGGCATCAATGTCCCACACTCCATGCACACTTCTCCTGGGGCCCCACTGGGCACTAGCATTCAGGGTACATAGAGGCAGGACATAGGCAGGGCTTGTCAGAAGCAGCCCTTCTGCATTTGGTCAGTGTTCCAGCTACTTCCAGGAGCAGAGAACAGTAGGAATGAACGTCTTCAGGATGCTAAATAGACCCACACTAACCAGGCAACAGAGCCCAGACACCAATGCCCTGGTATAGGTGGCCATCCTCCCCAGTAACCAAGAGCCTCCCGTCTCCCCCTCCTTCTCAGGTAATGTTAGTCTCTTCCTTCTTCCCTAAACCTACTTAGACACTGTAGATTTGGAAGCATTCTCTGTAAATTTGAAGGGCACCAAGTGTAACCCCTCCCTTGTTTTATAGGTAGGAAAACTAAAGCACACAAAGGGAACAGGACTTACTTGAGGGTGCAGAGAATCAGTGGCAAAACAGTTCCATGCAGGGTTTGAAAACAGGCACATGCCGAGATCTCTGTAACGCGACTTAAGAAACAAGGGACAAAGCCTGCCCTGACTGGCTCTACAACTGCAATGGCCAGGCATCAGCCTGAATGCGCGCTTGTCATCCAGCAGACTTGGGTACCAGGATCTAACAGCAGCACTGCCAGCTGGCAAGCTTGTCCCCACATCTCTCACCTCGGAGGAGGCAGTGGCCTGTGGCAACAGACCATGCCTGAGGCTGCTGGTAGTTTAAGAAGCAAATCTTAGCAGAGCCTCCATCTGGTACAGAATCAGAGTGCTACAATGGAGTCATCACACCGTGCCCAGGCCGTCAGACAGCAGTGGCATGGTGTTACTCTTCTGTGATGAGGCCCAGGGTATTGAGGGGAGCCAAATGCTGCTTGGGGGCAAACTACAGTCTCCTGACCAGGAGCCCAGACTGGCAAGGCATGTCTCACCCTTAGTCCCAGCCAGACAAGTCCCATCTGGACGAGTCATTATCAGTCAGTCAGCCTCTAAATTAAGGGGACAGAGCTCTTCCAGTTCCGCCAGCACAGACAGACCATCACCCACCGTGGTTATAAGTCTAGCTAAGCTAGTAATAGAGAAGCCAGCAAAACATATGAAAGAACAGAGTCTTTCCAGCAAGGTGCCCTTCTCGTCTCCCCACCACCCTTCACTGAGGGTGTGGGGGGAGCTCATGCCACTGAAACAAACCAGCTTTGAGATCTGCACAACAGATGTGCCCTACAGTCAGGACGTGCATGAGACACAAAGCCCCCCTCTGCTTCACAGAGGGAAGCAAATTCTGGAGCAGCGAGGCCATAGACCTCTTCTGCAGGATATGGGTGGGGGGATCTCGCCTTGTTCTACCCTGCCTGGTGAATCCTGAATGTGCACCTGGCTGAGGACCAGGCTCAGTGCCATCAGCTCTTCAGCTCTGCAATCGGTAGGACTCCATTTCCAGATATTCTCAGCTCTCTTTCCCCAACAAAGTTAAAGGTACGTTGTGCTGCCTGCTTTCCACATAAATATTGTTTTTATTACAAGAAAGAAGAGACCACCTCTGAAGTAAGGCACAACACAATTCTACTGCCACTGTGGCAGAAGTCCCTGTTGCTCATCCCTTTGATCTCAGCCAACACTGTGGCCCACGGGCCTAAGGCACTTGAGCTTTTCCCTTGATTGAAGCGCAGGAGGTGCCTGAGAGCTGAGCCTCATGGGAGTGTCCATGGTCTCTGGACCTGTGTCCAAGTTCATGTGTTTCCACTGGTGGTGAAGATGGACATCAAGAATTATGAGAAATGTAAAAATGTCTTTAAGTGTCTTTCCTCCTGAGTCCATCTTTGGCAATGGTCCCCAAAGCCTGGCCCCTTAGAGATGCAAATCCAGATCCTGGCCACCCTCAGGGTTCAAAGAGAGACTGGCCCAGGGGTACACAATTGCTGGAATGTTCTCTGCGAGTCATGCACACGTGCAGGGGTGAGGTACAGTTATATGGTGACACACATGGTGTTACTGTGAGCTCTCATGGTGCACAGAGAGGGCAGGTGATAAGGGCATCAGCTAATCTGTCCCACCTGGTCCAGCCCATCCAGTTCAGGGGAATCAAGGGGGCTGAGGCCCCGGTAGCCACTGTAGACCCTGTGACTGTCACTGACACCGTCATTAGGCTCCATTGGGCAAATGTAGTCTGTCGATTCATCGAACTTCTTTTTTCTTATGTTTCCAAAGTGTGAAAATCCTAGTTTCCTAGGCTAAAACACAGCAAATGCAAGCTTATGCAATCAAGGCAGTATGCAGATATGACTGACAATATACTTAATAGCAGGCCCACAAGGAAAGCAATAATGTAAACTGCTCCTAGAAAGACTCTGAACAAAACAGAGCTCTTATAAGCAATTTCTATGCTGCGAAAAGGGCAACAGGTAAATAAACTTGAACAAGAGCTGCTCCTCAAATACTATGCCTGAAACTCATGCCTGGCTACCCCACCAAAGTGACTTTCTTATTTCCACAGATGAACTGGGAGTTCCTTCAGAAAGTACTTGAGATCTGCACTTGAGGCCAAGCACAGAGAACTTGCCTCACTATAGCTGCTGGCACCCCAACCCCTTCCCATCTCAGCACCTGGCAACATCTAAAGGCACTCAGGATAGCTCCAGGTTGCTCCTTGCTCTAGTGTCACCCAGCACTGTTTCTGCTGGACTCCTCCAGACACACTTCCTATCCTGATCCCTTGGGGAAGGAGGTCTGTGCATGAGTTGTAGCTGGGCACGAAGCATCAACACTACCAGGTATAGGACCAGCCTGGCCTCCACAGGGGTTGCCTGTGGGTCTACAGTCTGGGAAGAATGTGGTCTGAGAATGCTGTGGCTCAGGCAGGTCTAAAGGACTGTGTGGGATTTTGGGAGCCCCAGTGAGTAGTGTTGATGCTTGGAAGACCTTGGGACCTCTGGGCATCTGTGTGCTGGCCACTTCATAAAACAAGACAGATGAGACCAACTTCCAATGGGAGCACTTCCTATGCCAGCAGGACAGTTTTGGCCAAGATCCCATGGCATTGTGTCATGCAGATGGGTCTGACCAAAGAAAAGCTAGACTCAGAGCATGTCCACTCTGCAAGATGAGTCATGGGAGCAATGGGGTGGAGGATGAGCTCTAAGCCACCTGAGGATAGGTGCTTCCTGCACATACTTTCTATTTTCTAAAGAAACCTGCCCTCTCTTCCTTGGACTCAAAATTGGTGGAGAACTGGCTTAACAAAGAACTGGCCTAACAGCCCACAGGACCACAGCAGAAGTCGGAAGGGCCTCCTTGTCCAGGCTGCACATGCTGCTCTGGCAATAGGCGTTGAGCCAGGTGCTGTGCTGGAGGGCCAGGAGGCAGCCCAGGGCCCACCCAGAAAGGGTCTGCAACTCACCCGGACTTTGGCTGTGGTGGTCAGTGGTGTGTAAGCAGGTGAGGACATTTTCTCTCGCTTTTCCTGTTCAGCCTCTGGACCAATCAAGGCATTGAACTTGGTGGTCAGGTGGCGCCTGAGGAGCGTCTTTTGTGGGGGGATATTGAGAAGCATAGCCAGGGTGTCCCCCGTGAAGCGTGGCTCCAAGATCTAAGAAGGAACCACAGACAAATCTGGCCAGGGGCAAATACAAATGGCTCCAGGTGGGGGATGCCGAGAGATTGGCCTGTTGGGGCCGGAGGCACCTCCAGAGCAAGGGCAGGAGCTCATTCACTTGTTCTGAGTCCCACTCCTCCCACTGGCTGGCACAGGGCCTGGCTCTAAGCAGACACTAGCACATTTGCTGACTGACTACCACCTTGTTTTCACAGCCCAGCAGAGAACTGGGACCTCTTGGTGAGGCTGTCTCCCACGGTCTCCCCTGGATGACATCCAAGCCACCACACTTCCTCATTTTCCCTCTGGCTTTGTGACTTGACAGATCTGAGTAGTAATAAGGATCATACTGCAGCAAGTGGGAAGCTGCATTTTTATGGCCTTCCTGTCCCTTCCCTAGCCCCCCGTTCCCTCAGAACAGGCAGACCTGCCTTGTAAGTGTTGGTCCTCATACAACTCATTGACCTAAAATCCTCGGGTCTGATGCCAAGGAGGTGCTTCCAGAAGGCATCTTGCTTCCATGAGGTATTAATTCTTAAGGACAAGTTATCAAAATACTTTCTTTGAGATGTCAAATTATGCAAGAGCTTCAGATGAAGTACCTATTTTTTAAATTAGATTTTATGTCTTATCCTTAATAAGTTTCTGAATATCCCATTTGCACCAAGGCAGATGGGTTAGGCCAGAGATCCACTCACAATGAGGCCTCCATGGACTCCACTCCCTCGAAGATTGGGTGCGTACTCTGCCAGGTCCACAGATCGCAACCATTCCATCACCCTGTGGTTGGACCACTGTACAACTTCTGAAGGAGAAAGGTTACTCTGTCAGAGGGAGAAGGAGAGTGAGGAAGTTAGGCTTAATAGGTCCCACCATGGTCCTCTGTGGAGTCAGCCCCTGTAAGTGACCCGGGCCCAGATGCACCCCAACAATGGAAGACCCTCAAGCTTGGTGACCCACACCACCTGCCACAGCACCAGCCTCCCCAGTTTCCAGGAAATAGAGCTCCCACTGAATCTTGCAAGATCTTCCACACTGAGATATCTGAATCCAGAATTCTGTTACTTCCTCATTTTCTGGCTTTGAGACAAATAAATGAGGACATTATAGTTATTCTTTCAGTGATTCAACAGAACTTTAAAGATGACTGTCAATTACAATTCAAGTGTTTTATAGAAGAAAGATCTCCCTGGTGTGGCCAACTGTTTTAGGGGAGCACACCTTAAGATACTTATTCCCAAGTGCTCTCATGTAGCATTGTGGTCTTAAAAATGCACAGTGCTGTGCCTGACATATACAAGGCATTCAAAACATGTTTGTTGAATAAGGAGAAAACAGGAGATAGATGTCAAAGGTAGCAGTTTTTAATCTCCCAGGAAGCTGAGTTAATTCTATAGCAGGGTTAGACCTAGTTCCCAGGAACAGAGGAGATAGGATGTGACTGACAATCTTCAGTTTTGGGATCCACCAAGAACTCCGAAGTTCATGGAACATAATCAGTTATTTCATCATGACTTGGGGTGCTGTTAGTTACCTATGCTATTTCTTCTCTAGCAAGACTGCTCATGGATCCCCTGTACCTGGGCCTGAAGATCAGTTACTTTTGGATCTATGAGTAGGGATACCTATTCTGAAATGTCTAGCTTCTATGGGCTCCTCTTCCCTCTCCTGTCTCTTCTCCTCTCTTCTACTGTGGCACCTATCTTTCCATTTTGTCTTTCCCTTCCCCTCTTCTTTGCACCATCTTCTTATCTCCTTTTATCACTATGATGACTTTATAGCACATGTCTCCCCAGTGGACGGTGGGAGCTTAGAGGGCTATGGCTACTATGAGACACGAAGTATAGGTAACGGGTGTTTGGGGCACCACGAAGCACGAGAAAACAGAAGAAACCCAGGCACCATGATCCCTAAAACAGTGCTTTTATGCTGTCATTCTTGTTTTCTCTTGCTCGATGTTGCAGGGGTCCTGGCTCAGAGCTACCTGGAGAGATATTATCATGGTCTCACCTCATCAGCTGGCCGCCGGTGCAGGCAGTGGGGGTTGAACTTGTTGACATGCAGCACATGAATGGCACATTTGATGCTGAGATGATGTAGTTGGCTGGTAACTTTTAAGAAGAGTAAATCATTCTGAAAGAGGAAAGTTTGGTTGATAAACCAGTTTCCAAAGTGACAAAAGACCCCTGATGTCCCTTCCCAGACCAAACATAGACAAGTCAACCACATTTCAGGAAGGCGCATGTGGAGACACCCATAGCTTATTACAGTGGTTTGTACTCTGCTACTTGGGACCTTTTTTTTGTGACAAATGATATTACTTCAAGGCCATAAGAATATATGGAATCAAGTTTAAAATAACCACCATGGGTACACGTGAGCTGGGTGCTCACAGGCACCACTGAAATATTTAAAGAAAAAGTCCTCACCACAGTCAGGTATTGCAGCATTCGCCCGTCAACTCGAGATTCATGAAACTGGTCTTTGTACTGGGGTAAGCCAATATCATCAAGCCACCCTACAAATACAAAAACCCCAGATGTGTCAGGATTCACAAGAATGAGAGAATGTAGATGCCAAGAAAGGGGAGCAAATTATATTTTGAGGTTCCAGTTTTATTCCCCAAAATGTTTGGTAATTCCTCTGCCTTTTACAAGGAGACAGCTGTCTTTGAGGTAACCATTTAACAGGGAAATTCCTTCTACCCTTAGTTGCTGCTGGAAACATACTTAATACATATATGCCTGTCCTTACGTGTCACCCAAATGTGGTCTAGCAGTGCAGACTTCTCCTCCTGCTTGGTGTTGATGGCTTTCACTGCTAAGACAAGTTTCTTCCTGTGGAGAGGGTGCTTAATTCCTAGCTCCTGAAATTAAAAGGTGAAGACCACATGTGAAATTTTGGCATGCAATTTGGCCCTCAAAGAAAGCTGCGTCTGGGTGGAAATGCTCTGAGAGTATGACAGTGGATCTCTGTACCATGCCCTAGGATGCCAACCTGCAGGTACAGAGGGACTCTCAGCCTCCTCCATCCATCCTCCTGTGTGTGTGAGAGGAGTGGCGGATCCTGGCCTCCCCAGGCGTTGGTTTGGGGAGAAATGGGAGTCTCCTCTCCCCAAGCTCAGCCCTTACCTTTTCCATGTCCTGAGGGGTGGCTGTCAGTAAAGTGTGGCCGGAAGACACCCACTGCCTGGCGAAGATCACATATTGAGCCAGGCCAAAGTCCTCCAGCCACGCACATACACGCTCTGTGCTCCACTGGGCAAAGGGGGCGTTGGTGTCACTGGGAAGCAGAAGAACAGCATATTCCTATTAGTGGGAGAGGCTGAGGTTCTGAATCTAATCATGTCTTACAAAAAAATAACTGTTTTTTAACAAACAACCTCCATCATGGGATTTTGTTCAACAAAATTCCACTACAGCACACTCACATGAGGTAGGCCCTACAGTTTCCTTAATAACACAAGATCTGCATTTTAAATCTCTGGCTACTTAGAGGATGGGGCTGCCTATATGATCCTCCTGAGATCACGTTTATATGCCCTAGGTCCACATACACACATATACATGCCACAAGCCCAGAGCTGTGGCCTCATTAGGAGGAATCATCTTTTTAGGAAAATGCTTAGAAAACTAGTTTTCTTAGCATTTAAGTGGGTCAGTTCTCAACATTAAAAAAACAAAAACAAAAACAAAAAAACACCCAAAACTAAAAGCAAAAACTTTCCAGTCAACAGTTCACACCTTACATATTAACGAAAACATGGGAACATTCAAATTAAAGTCAACGAAAGGACAACATGTGTTTTATCAGTGCTAACAACACTGGTCTGAGAGTCGTAGCCAGTACTAGAGATAAATATGAACAAGAAGTATAGGTATTAGAAAGGCAGAAACAAAAAAAAAAGCCATTTGTTACAGATGATAGGACTGTCCATTTAGAAAACCCAAGAGAGCTCAGTAAGGTGGCCAGTTATGAAATACACATATAACCGTATGTAAGATATATGGTACATACAAAGATCAACAATTTTCTAATACCATCAATGTACAGATACTAATGGTTCTGTTAAAATAATTTAAAAATTCCACTCATAGCAACCGACATTATGAAACGCCTACAAATTGTCTTAACGAGAAACATTTGGCCTTGTGTGATTATGTGTGGGGATTGTGGGGGTGGGGAGAGGTGCTGACTACAACAGTCAACTGAGCAACATAAAAAAGGACATGAAAATGAAAAGCTAGATTATGTTCCTAGACAGGATGACTGGGTTTTATAAAGCCATCAATTCTTAAGGACATCCATTCTTCATTTAAAGTGTGAATTTAACAGCACGCTAAAAATCCCAATGGAGTCATTTTTTTTAGGAGGGGAGGATTTGACAGTGCAGCTCTCTGTTCATAAATGGGGATTTATAGAATATTGAAGACTAGATATTCCTTCAAAGACTAGAAAGATTCCTTCAAAGCATCCCTAACATACTACATTAAAACGTATTTTTTTAATGTCTGGTCGAACTGTTCTTAAAGTTAGGGAATTCCTTAAAGGATAAACATGGTAAGAAAGCTTCATTTTAGAATAATTGCTAGAGATGATGTATATCCTGGGGCAGGGACTGATCAATTGCAACCTGGAGCCTGGGCTTTCACGGGTCCTGAAAATGTTTTTATGAGGCCTAGAACTTATAAAATTTCAAAAAAGTATAAAATCTAAATATTAAATTAGAAATAAAAGGAATATTTAGAATTAGAAAACAAGCCACAAAAACTGCAAGTTTTGTAAAACTGAAAAAAAATCACAAAATCTAGAAATATTAATATTTTATTACATAAAAGGTAGATATACCTCTATAGTTTGATTCTTTTTTGAGACAAGATATTTATTATTTTAGAGATGGGGTATTTATTTATTTTAGAGACAGGGTTTTAGTAATTAATTAGTTTTAGAGATGGGGTCTGGCTCTGCCGCCCAGGCTGGAGTGTAGTGATGTAATCATAGCTCACTGCAGCCTTGAACTCATGGGCTCAAGCAATCCTCCTGCCTCAGCCTCCCAAGTAGCTGGGACTAAAGGTCTGAGCCACTGTATCCAGATATAGTACTTTTTTACTCTCATATTTTGGGTGCATACTATTTGACTGCTTCTTTATATGTCCACAATCTATAATACTTTCTATGAAAACTGATGGTTGATTTAGTCTTTCTTCCAGTATGATTGCTCTTTATCTTTTATGACAAGAGTTAAAAAAAAGTCTCCACAATTTTTTTTTATTTTTATCTTTTTTTTTTTGAGACGGAGTTTCGCTCTTGTTACCCAGGCTGGAGCGCAATGGCATGATCTCGGCTCACCACAACCTCCGCCTCCTGGGTTCAAGCAATTCTCCTGCCTCAGCCTCCCGAGTAGCTGGGACTACAGGCGTGTGCCTCCATGCCCAGCTAATTTTTTTTGCTATTTTTAATAGAGACGGGGTTTCACCATCTTGACCAGGATGGTCTCGATCTCTTGACCTCATGATCCACCCGCCTCAGTCTCCCAAAGTGCTGGGATTATAGGCGTGAGCCACCGCGCCCGGCCTTTCTTCACTTTTTATAACTGGTATTGTCATGCACATTTTTAAAATCATTTAAATTTAGAAAAGCCTCTGTCAAATGTCTTATATGTGAGTTGTAAAACTACATTCAAGTTTTCTAATGCTATGGCTAATCTTAAGCATTCTTTGAATTTGACAATATTCATTTAACTCATGTGTTGTCTATGTCCTTGTGGCAGTACGTGAGTTTATATCATCTTTGTCACTGTCAGTATATCATGTAAACTCAGCAAGAAATTTCAACCTTTTTCCAATGAGTTCATATGATTCATCTTATATGAACAACAATCTAGGAGGCCATTCATTCCTTTTGTTTAAAACTTGCCTCTTTGTCTTAGCAAATTACTGCTTTTGGTATGATCTGGATTTTTTGTTTGTAATTTATTTTTTAAGGTTAAGAAAGAATAATTTCTCTCAAATTTCAATGCTTATTTTATCACTTCTGTTTTATATTCTATTTGGTTTTTATTTCATTCATTTCCTTGTTTCTTGGAAGTGGGAAAAACAAAAATATCTGAGGGACATTTCAGTTCTTTTAAAAATTTTTTAATTTTCATATTTTGCGTAGTCTTTGTGAACCTAACATTTCAGTTCCAAAGGGAAAATAAGTGTTTCTGAGATCATAATTTGAAAACCTCTGTCCTATAGACCTTTTCAAAACCACCTAGAGCTCTGATCCTCATCTCCAGTAGTCTTTCCGTTTTTTGTTTTGTGATCCTCTCCTCCCTCTTAAGCCTTGAGGTGCTCGCACAGTATCAGACCCAGCTTCTGCACCTCCTCCTCAGCTCCTCTCAGTGCCAGTATCTCCCACATCCTCAGCCAGGGCACCACTCAACATTCTAGGAAATAATCTGGAGATGACAGAGAAGATACCCTTCATCTATAGCCAAACCATTTATTTTGCTGACATAGTCCAAAACATCTCTTCAAATTGCAGTTCAAATGATATAGCTGAGATTTATCAAATATGCTCTTCTCATCGAAGGGAGAGAGGACATGGCACATTTATAATTACACAGTTCACCAGTGAGTACGGAGTGCTGAGCGAATCGGCACAACGGGAAGTGGAAGTAATTCTGGAAGCCATTTGTGCAGTGGGAAAGCTAGTGAATCAAACTTAACTAAACATGCAGTGTCTGTAAACCACATACACACATACCCCACCCTATCCTAAACCCAAACAACATGGATCCCCAGATCAACTTCCCCTTAATAAGTCCCCTGAAACCCTCACAGCTGCCCTAACACCACCTGTTATACGGAAAAGTGTAGACCAAGGGAAAGTTGGAGTAAAAAGAGTCAGGAGTCTTGAAACTGGCTGTGTTTAAAATTGCCAAATTTTCAAAACACCTGGCCCTATCGACACTATGATCAAACTCTCTCTGGACTCTGGAAGGGCTCCATACAAGTGAGGGTCCCCGAAGCTTAAGCGTCTTTATATTCATGATGAATCTGACTGACTGTGCATATAGGAAAAGGAAACAAAATGGGGCCCAGGGCAGGGGAGCGGTAGGATTGGGGACACCTCTTAAAGCTGGAGTCCTAGGGCAATACACTCAGTAGATCAACTCAGAAAAAAAAACACTCCGCAAAGATAGGATCCAGCCATGTGCCTCTAGAACCTGTTTGCCTTAAACATTATGCTTTACTGCCTTTTTGTAAAAAATAGTAACTCATAATAAACACACATACTAAAATAAATCCTAAATGGATTATTCAAAGTTTTAAAAAATCATAGAAAAAAATTTTAAAAATGAAAGAATTCACAAATTGGATGAACCTAATTCTATATAAACATAAAAATTCCATATATTAAAGTATCACAAACAAAAGTAAAATTCTACCACAAACCTATAAATACTGTCACAATTTTTAGACATGACTTAATATCTTAATAGAGAATAGTTAGAATCTATAAATACATTAATAATTAAATAATGAACAAGATGCAGATAATTCACAAAAGAATTAAAATGACAAAAACATAAAAACTAAATTACCAATGCAAATGTAATTTGGATGTTCATAAAAATAGAAAACTTTAAAAAAGAAACATTTAAATACTTCATGCTGATAAGGATGTGGGTGTAATAGGCACTCTCTGTCCAGCAGGGCTGATTGGAATGCAAATTGGTAAAACTTTACCTGGGAGGAGAAAGACAATAAAACGTGTTCTTCCATAATCTGAGACAGAGGGCCTACACAATATTATCAAAGATCATATAAAAAAAATAAATTGTTTTATTGAACAAAGAAAGGTTGGGGCTGGAGACTTTCAGTAACAAAGCACCTTTCCTAAAGAATATGAGCAACAGTTTTAAAGCTATACCTAAATATTAATATCTATAAATTATAAGTATTACCAGAGGACATTAACATATACCAAATTTCTACTTAAGAGTCGTAAAGGCCTTTCTTGTCCACCAGCAAATTCATTTTGCACTGTTAGGATAAACATAACAATCTCATCAGGACCTCTTTACACCTCTTCCCTTTATCATCTACTGTTATGGTTAACAAAGCACAAAGACATTCAAACAAAGCAGCCCTGTGGCTAGAACTGCAATTTTTTTTCTTTGGCAAAGAAAGTTACTGACCCTGGTTACCCCATACCCTAAAGTGACTGGCAGCATACAGATGGCTCCCTAACCATGCACTTCTACTCCAGGGACAGTGCTGAGGGGTCTTAGAAAAGTTCCTACACCCTGTCCCAATGATTCTCCTTCTAGAATCAATCCTTCAAGAACTAGCCAGAATTAAAACAAAAATGAATCATTAAAACTTGCTATGGCTTGATTTTTTTTTCAGCTCAGATAAATCAGAAACAACAGTAATGTCTACACTGAGAAAACTGCTAGGTAAATTGGAATATCTAATTATTGAATATACAGGTAAGCCTTCTCTGGCTCACTTTCTAAGGGCTCTGATTTAGTCTCTGACTTAGACTATGTTCTTAGGTTCTCTACCCTCTAAAAGCTAATGGTCTACACATTCTATTGCTTCTTTTCAAGGCACCTGGAGCCTGGGGATACTTGTCAAAGAATAAATGGATCTGGAAAGGTCCCGTATCTCATGCACCAGGAGGACATGGCAGAGACAAGAAGCCTGTTTGGCAAGCTAGGGAAGTGAAGTATCATATCCGTGAGCAGCATAAGTGAAGGCTCCCTTCCACAGGGGATGCAGGTCTGCCAAAAATATGAAGCATTTAGCGAAATGCTTTTCTTCCTTAACCGGAATCTAGACTGTATTATTTCTGAGAACTGATATTTGAATTATATGTATCTTATCCAGTAATGACCTGTACTTTGCATTGGTGTATGGGAATCTTGAGGGGACTAAACTGAAGAGAGTTAAGCCTTACTTTTTTCCCTTTTGGTTAGATATAAAATGCCACATTCGAATCTTGTGGAAAGCCCCCAGGAGTACCGATCTTGGCTGAGAAACTCAGAACTTAGGAGATATTCTGGTGGAGGTGATGTATTGTAGGGACTGCTTGACTGGAGAGAGAATATGGAAAGGGGTTTCCCCAAAATACAGGAGTAAAGATTCACCTGTGCAGGTTCGAAGGGAGATACTGGTTTTCAGAGCAGGGATATCAAAAGAAAGTGGGTAAAACTAGTAACTGGAGGGTTTCTGCTAGGGACATGTCCAGAGAAGTTTAACGTTTTCTATGCTTTTGTATTAGGGCATGATGGGGAAAGTCACATGAAACTTCCCACTTTGATTCCAGTGCCATCCCTCTGCAACCCCTTTTAGTTAACATGCTACAGTAAAGTTTGGCACAGTAGGATTATGAAAAATAACGGCAGGTGTGGCCAGCTCCACTGACATCTTTCTGCAGAGTCTTTGTGGATGACTGACCCAGAGGTGGGTAAGAGACAAGGCTCACTTTCCCAAATATACTAGAGGCTGTTGACCCTTGAATGGCAGACAGCTGATGCAGAAGCTCATGTAATCCTCATGAGAACTTTAATAAAACACTTGTTTTTGACATCTACTTTACAAGTGAGGAAATGGAGGCATAGAGAGAGATACTGTATAGCCTAGCTTAGGGCTCACAGCTAGGAAGTGACTGAGCAGAGATTCCTAGGGGTCCCAGAGTCTGTGCTCTTCCTGGCTACACCAAGGCTACTCAATTCAGTGTGTAAACCCACTGCCGAGAATGGATCATAGGCGTGTAGCACTGTTGAGGTGCTCAGGGAGGCCCGAGGGCCCACCTCCAACCCTAGCCAGCTCCAGCTGTAGGGAGCTTCTTGTCTTCACCTCAGCATACTTGTAAGCATGAGCAATGTGCATGCGTGTTGAATGGACAAGTTGAGAAGCTCTGCACTACGGGCTCCTGCCTTCCATTTCTGGAGGCTGTGGGACAACCAGAAACCCTCTCCCTGCTCCACCCTGGCCGGGATTTCACACGACTTTTTGTAGATGGACTGGAGGGAGCCTTACCTTTTCTGTCCCTTGGAATCTCTGGTCCTAGAGAGTCTTGGCCCTGCGGTTGCCCGGAGCCCACCTCGTCGAAACTCTGCCATCCCCAGCGTGTCTGTGTTGAAATTTCCTGACTGAGTTCTTCGGATTCTGCATGGAGAAGAATCCATGGAGACTGTCATGGGAGAGTCTGAAAGCCTACAGTTGCTGTACTTCCTCTTTTGCAAGGCCATGCAGGCCAGAACGGTGACTCTGGGCAGCACTGCTTCTCAGTACCTTCCCAGAGATCAAGGATCACAACCTGTCACAGCTCCTCGGCCAGACTCAAGCCTCAATTCTAATCCTGCTTCTGGGATTTAGTCACTTGCCATAGAGGTCAGAGCAAAGTTTGATGCTTTGTAGGAGGCCCCAGTTTCTGCCTCATGTTGCAAAGTAGATCACTTGGGCCAGCAAGTACTCAGCTTTCAAAGATTTTTCAAAGATTTCTTAAGACAGACTGACTCCTAAGAAGGAAGAATACAGTCCCATCTGTGTCTGTCCCAAAGCCCATGTAGTATAAGCTGCAGAGATGATGTTCAGGGTGTGTGGAATGGGTGTGTGGCAAGGATGCATGACATGAAAGGCAACTGGGTATATTTAATGGGTGCCTTTCATACTTCTCCTTCTCTTGGCGCTGAAAAATAACTCAGATTCTTCTCTTTAAACATGACCAATCTGATTTGACTGCTGTTTCAATGTCTGATGGACCAGGGGCTTACAGAGACTCTTTGCCCAATCAAAAAGAAAAATTCCAAGCAACATAATTATCATCAACAGCACCAACTTACTTTCCCCAGAACTTCTTAATGCCTTTGGGACTCCGTTTACCATCTGGTGTCAGAGGAGACTGGGGACCTGATTCAGTGCCCGATGATGTGGATGAGAGGTCATTGACCACAGCAGTGTCATCCCAGCCACTTTCTGTGTCTCCTGAGATTGGAAGAAGGCAATGAACATGAATGTAAGGACGTGACCTCCAGAAACCTTCTCTCCCAAGCCTGGGCCCTTCCCTTCAGTGGCAGTCCAGAGAATCTGGCCAGCTCTGCCTTCAGGGCAGAACTCCATACCAGATCCCAGAGACTAGTGGGGATTCCAGGCTTTCTTGCTGAGAAATTAATGAGCTCAATGTTTCAAATCTAGGTGAGCTAATGTCTTTAATTTTAAGGATTTGGGGTTCAAGTACTTGTGGATTATTCCAACAAGGAGCTTGCTCTCTTTTCTCAGAGGGAGATGCAGGCACGCAGGCAGTAGGGGGACGCTGGCTGAGTGTTGGTGAGGGGGAGGGTTAGGGTAGGGAAACAAAGGCATTCTCACTCTCCACCTCACCTGGAATGGGTACAGTACCTAATACGGGGGCACTGACACTCCGGCCACGGTCTCCAGTGAACCAAGAAGCAGAGAAGCCACATGAAGAAACAAGAGAGGCCAAAGTCCAGCCCAACAGAGTTACGGGGAAGCAAAGAAATAAACAAAAGAGCGTCATCAAGCAAGAGAGAAAAACTCAAACAGAAAGAAAAATAATCCCACGGAGAAGGATAGGGTGAGTGGTGACTGAGACTGACAGGAGGTTTCATGTGAGGGGACCACGTGCTCCTAGTGCCTCTCTGTGACAGGCTGAGGTGTTCACACTTGGGGACAGGGAGGGACAGCAGCAGGGGCTGAAAACTCCAGGCCACAGGCAACTCTTGTGCGGATGCCTGGGCTCACTCAGCTCAGACTAGAGCAATCTGAAGCTGTGGTGAGTCCAGTTTGAGTGTCACACTCAATGAGAACACACTCATTCCAGGGCTTATCTGGAGTTCCTGCAGCCAAGGGCAGAGCTGACCTTCACGAAGCTAACACATGGGCCGGCTCAGGCAATAGCTGAGGCTGAGGGGCCTCAGGAAGAACTGTGCCAGGACCAGAATGTTCCCTCCTGGGCCCATTGAATCTTCTGCTGCTGCTGGGGAAAGATGGCCTATTTTGAACGCAAAGCAGCAAAAACCTCTGCGGTTTCAGGTCTTACCCACCGAAAGGATACCTGTAGACCAACACACTTGCCCATTGACCACTGACTCTATTTGCCTAAGGAAATGCTCCTACTTGGAGTGCATGATGCCCTCCTACTAGGAATAGGGAAGCTGCAGAGAAGAAGGTGGAGACAGGAGAGAGAAGATCAGAATGACAGAGGAAGGAAGCATGAGGGGCAGGAAGGGTAGAACAGGGTCTCTGAGAAGAGGGAAAACAATGCTAGGAAGGAAAGGAAGGGGTTCGAGAGGAGGAAGAGAAGAAGAGAGGAAATGAGGGTGAAAACTGCAGCTGGAAAGAAGTAGGGGATACACACACCCTGCTTTGCTGAGACTGTGGATTGCTGACCATAGAAAACAGCTCACCCAGAGGGAGCCTCTAGAGGTGGGACTGCCCCAAGGTACAGCTTGTTCCAGCCACCCACCCCACCATTCTCCAATTGCGGATTATGGTGGTAGGTGCAAGGTTCTTGTATAATTACTCAAAGTGCCAAGGACACTGCTTAGAGGTCACCAGCACCAGGGTTGGACACTTACTCAGTCTCAGCAGGCTGCTCCCCGTGGCGTCAGGCTGGCAGGCAGTGGTGGCAGGAGATTTGGCAGCTTCTCCATTGGGCGTAGCTCCTGAAAGCTTCCCAGGTAAAGTCGGGTATTTGTGCTCCGCCAAGAAAGGGCTGTCCTATTGGAAGGTGAAAGAAAGAGAAAGGTACCTATTTAGCTGTCAGCCTCAGTTGGGAAATCTTTGGATATAGAACAATTCCCTGTTTTTCAAGAGCCATTTTTCATATATGGTGACTCAAAGACCCCTCAAAGATTATTTAGCTAGTCTGACAAAGGGGAATAGAGTTCCAAGGAAGGAAGAAACTTTTCCAAGGCCACACAGTAAGACAGGGACAGAGTCAAGTGCAAATCCAGAGCTGACTGCAACTGCCTCTAACAGGAAGTGAAGTTGTCTTACAAAGTGGCCTTTGCTGTCTGGCCTAGTGCTCAGAGGCTCGATGAATTAACAGCTGTGAATTACTCTGTAAGCTCTTTGGATATGAAAACTGGCATTCTCATAAAAGCTGCCTCATGCTTTATCATACATACATACATACGTACATATATATGTAAAATAACAATTCTGCAAGAGAGGAAGCTGAGTTCAGTCTGCTCTGGGCTTCTCTGTTTCTCCCAGATTTGCTTTCCTGTGGTGAGGAGAGAGGTGCTTCTGCTAATTGGGATCCTTCCTCAGGCCAGGCAAGGGCAGAACTCTGTGAGGGCTTGACCAACTGCACAAATGATATGGATCTTGCCTGAGAGCAGGTATGCTACAGAAGGGAAATTAAAGTTTCAATCTGTAGCAAAAGAAAAAAATCTATATTATGATAATGGTTTCTTAAAAAACATCATGTTAAGGCAAGCAAGAAGATATGCACACCTTTGGGGGAGATGCTGACAAGAAATGGGCCAGAGGACTACATGGCAACGAGCTCCTTTAGGAACTTAGGATTAGAGTTTACACAAGGTAGAGCCTCAGTGTACCCAGCTCCATGCTTGGACCCTGGCCATGGAGAGGTCCCAAAGAAACAAACTGATTAAATGAGGAAGAAGATAGCATTTATTCGGCAAAGAGGCATATAATGGCCTCTAAATCTGCAAACCTGAGAGAAACACAGTGGAATGCACTGTGAAAGTGAGAAAAAAAGAAGAGAGAAATTGAAGCGATGTCACCAGAAGGAATTGACTGTGGATCACCTGATTAGATTCAGAAGAAAATATGAAAGACAAAACATTTCAAACTGGCAAGTCAGAACAGTAATGGGCAGCTGCTGTGACTGAAACATCCTTTGAAGTTCCATTTAGCTAAAAGCCAAGTATCCAATATATTTCTGAATTCAATTTCCTTATAAACGCATGTCCTAGAAATTGAGATTCAGTTCATTCATTGAACATTCACTGTAACTCCCTATAAATAGCTCAGAAAGGAGAGATACAGGAACAGTAAACTGAATTCTGAAAGAACTGGCTGGTACAGTAGAAGTAACTAGAACCTTGAGAGCGAAGGCCATGAGATTTTCAAGTCTGTGATGACCCATGAGCTAAAGATTAGACATGATCAGACATGTATGTGGTCAAGACCCCAGAGTTTCCAAATGGTAGTTCACGTGCCGGCTGCTCTTCCTAATTACCTAGGGCACTTGTAAAACAATATGAGTTTCCAGATCCCTCCTGTGCCCAGTCCCTGATTCAGTCTTCCTGGAAGCACACCCCATGGGTCTGTATTTTTGACAAGCATCTCAGATTATATGAATGCAGTCAGACCCAGGAACCACTAACAATGAGAAGGTAGTGTTCAAAAAGTTTAGAGACCTGAAGGGCATGACTCTAAGCTCCACCTTACATAGGACATATGGGAAGAGGGCAGGGCTCTCAAAAACAGGTTTCTGACTGTATCATCATGCATGCTCCCTCAAGGCAGGGCTGAGACAGCCAAGGAGCCAAGTGGGCCAGCAGGGAACTCCCTGAGGAGCTGAGATGCAAAGAGAACAGATACCTAATCCAAGCATGGGGTTTAAAAGGCAGCCCAGATCTGTAAGAAAGAAAGCAAAAAGGAATCAAGGACAATGGAAAGGGCTCTCTGGGTTCTACTCAAGCCAAGAATAAGTGCTGGGAAGAAATGACTCACTGATGGAGAAGGTGGTGCAATGGAGACATGATGCAGAGGAAACAAGAGATGCTCAACTCCAGTTCTGTTTCTCCTGTCTCCAAAAAGAATAATCCTCCTGGCTGTGGGGGAACAGAAGCCCCAGCCAAGAGAGTAGTGTAGAACTGATTATCTGCTGCTTTAAATTAGAACAGAGAAGCAGCATGCCAGAGTGGAGAGGGCCTAGGCTTTGAGTCAGACCATATCAGGCAAAGCTCTTTCTCTTCCACCTCTCAGGACCTCTGCTTGGTCATTTCTAAAAGGAGAATAACAATTCCTGCTTCAGGTTTGCCAGGAAATAACATATCCACAGGGCCTAGCACACAGTGGACACTGGATAAACAGAAGCACAGGAAATATCACAAACCCAGGACCTAAAGAAACAGCAATCTAGAAGAGCAGTTCTTACCAAAGCGGGCACTGGTCAGACTACATCTAGAATATCACAGTCTGGTCCAGGGCACAACTTAAAGAATACACTGAGAAACTAGTGCTGATCCAAAGTAGACTAAGCAGCAGCCTGAAAGGCTTGTGATCCATGCACATAAGAAGGTAATATTCAGTCCGGAGAACAGAGCAGTCAGAGAGGGCAGGAGGTACTTAAATTCCAGAGCTATCAGAAGTAGGGGAGATTGACTTTATCCACGGGCTAGACACGAAGAGAGAGGATCAGCAGATGCACATTTTAGGGAAGCTCACAGAGCTGGAAAAGAATACAAAGGATGTCTTACAATGAAGTCACAGAAAGCAAGAGCCAGTTTAAGCAAGTGCCAGACACAAAAGTTAGGGCTGCTGCAGAAAGATGGCTCTGGAACAGTTCTGGCCCTATGGGACAGTTCTGGGAGGGCAGTGGTGTATGTGGGTGAGCAGCGAGGGGTGGCCATATTGAACAAGACTGTATAAGATTATGATTATGGGCAAAACCATACAAAATTAATCTTTTAATCTGGAGCATTTTTTTCTTTATAAATAGTCCCATACCACTCATATTTCTTGGTAATCAAATTGGGATCTTGAACCTTGAGCCTGTGAGCTGGGCGTTCTTCCAAAGGAGCAGGCGGTCACTTACAGATGTGCTTTAGAAACACCTGTGAATGACCTCTGTGAAGCTGTGGTGGGAGGGGGGACTGCTGAGTGATTTAACAGCTGTCCTCACAAGTAGCCTTTCGGTTCACAAAGGGACCACACAAACCCCAGACTCAAGGGTCTGTGTTCTGGAGCACCTGGGCAGGAGAGCAGGCAGAAGACTTTTGCTGTACAGCTCAGATGGCCCAAGGAATGGCTGCCTACTTGAAGCAACAACCGCTACAAATATGGAAGTGTAGAGAAACCCCTTATATAGATGCAGAGGTGCAGAAAAGATCTTTCTCTTAAGCAAATGTGGAGGAGCAGAGATGCCTCATTTTACCAGATGGATGTGAAAATATAAAATGACCCCCTCAGGCAGAAGTCAGCAAGGAATGAGAAGCTCCATGTTTCATGTGGACACGGAGGCAGGGGACAGAGAAGGGAAATGCCATTAGCCTCACAATACAATACATTTTCTATATATTGTTATAAATCGTGGTTGGATGTGGCTGAAATTATGCTAATTATATGAATCTTCATTTCTTTATGGGTTCAACATTTGTGCACTGGCCTAAAAACTTAATCCTCTTCTACGACAGAAGAAAATTAGTCCTAATGGAATTTTTATAACATAACTTGTTCACCAAAGCGGGACTGAGTGTGCACTTGTGGTTTATTTTTTAACCATGACATATCAGCACAGAAAGGATGACAGTGTGCTGAGATCGTAGCAATCCCTTTCCCAGGGATTAAGTCAACTTTCTTAATTTCTCTGAGCCTGTAAAATGGAGGTGGTAATAATAAATTCTGTCCCACAGATAATGGCAGTGAAAGCATGTTAAATAGTTGGGTGCACATAAAGATAAAATGGGAGAGAAAAGTTGATCTTTCCCCTCTTACCCCCTTACAGTTAGTACATTTTAAAGCTACAAAGCTATGACTTGCCAAATTAAAATACTTGCAAACAGTGTAACCACAAATAGGCAACAGGGCATGAGGTCAAGGTACCTTGGGCTCTACCACCGGGAAGAGCTGGTTCCCGTCCATACACTATGGAGTAACAAGAGGATTTCGTTTATGTGGAGAAAAGAGATTTGTATTATTCACAAACAGCAACAACTCAGGACTACCTGTCTGCTTAAATCCGAAGGGCTCATCCCCTCCCTCCACATCTTCATGCCAGGTAATCACCATCCATGGCAGAAAACAGATCCCCGTCCAACTCCTTGGACAGATGTCCTGGGCAGCTGCCGGCAACATGGTCATGGCAACCAAGGGACACATGACCATGAAAGCAGAGCCACTGAATGAGCCCAGGGCTCCTGCCGACTTCAGCTTTTATGGTTCTCCATTGTATCAACAGGGAGGCTGACCAACGTTATTGGAAACCAAGGGATGGCATGTAGCACGGGCTCACTGAAGGGTCTCTATCAGGGCAGGCTCCCTCGGTCTCTAATGACCAAGCTCAAGAGCCTGCTACTGTCCCCTGCAGCGTGAGGTCCACCCACATGATCAAGGGCTACTCCCATCTAAGGAGCCACAAAACCCTCCTCATCTTCCCAGACTCTTAGAACAGCTCACTCTACAACATCTTAAAGATCCCCCATCTTCTCCCTGGGATCATCTACTTTACTCACATTAATTCACCAATAAAAAGTCTGTATGATGCCCCCAAGTTCCGCAGGGATATAGGACTAGTAGTCACGATCTTCCCTGGCTCGATCTGTCTCATGGCTCTGACCTTACCTCCTCCTACTCCCCACCATTTCCCAAAACCCACCAGTGCCCAGCAGACTTTAACCAAGCTTTGCCTACCTCAACATCTCTCATCAACTCCGGGCAGCATTTCCTGAATTATTCTTCCTCTAAGATGCTTTGGACCGCACCTGATTAATTTTCTCAAAATGTTCATGTAATTCCTGTTTTCCCCACAACTTTATAAAATCTTCTACAACGGAGGGACCAGGACCTACCCATATCCATATCCCAGTACTAGGCTAGGCCCAAAAAAGTAACTCAGTCATCCTTAAGGGTAGGTTGATGAGCTGACCTTATTCACAGATCCACTTCTCAAGTCTTCTAGACTACAAGAGAGCTTTTTCTGAGCCCTGAAAAAAATACAAAAGAAAGAAAGAATTACTGGAGAAGGAGGTAAATGTTATCACTCACGCAGAGCACATTTCAAATACTTAACCAGTGGTCTTCGGCTTAGGTTCAAGGTCATGAAAAAAAAATACCCTCTCATAACAGCCTTTACATATAAAATTAGACTTGCCCACTCTGGGGGATAGATTGGTCCAACAATGTGTTAGTAAGGGCATGAGGGCATCACTTAAATCCAAATGAAATGTTCTTGCACAAAAAGCCAGAATACACTCAAATTCTGCTGCAACAAGGTGACAATTGTGCAGTCATCAAAGACCAATGTCTACAGAGTCAGAAGAGGGGAAAGCCATGAATGCTGGGCTTGTCTGAGTCTAAGAGTAATCCAGGGAGGAGGGACCTGAGCCTCCTTAGAGTGGAGGTGAACACACCAGCCAGCCGTGGCTCCAGATCACCTGCTAGGAACCTTCCACACTCTGCTCTGGATCTGCATGCCCTATCTAGTCTGCTTAGAATAATTTGGCTCTCTCAGGGGCTATTTTGCAGAGAGGGGCACCAAATGCATCAAGAGGCCATGTCACAGTCACAAGGGTAACCTTGTGCCAAATCTCCTTGGCAGCCATACTTCTCAGTTTCTATGAATAAATCAGCATTTAAAAAAATCTTAGTCTCTTGTGAATCTGGCCAGTGTGAGTTCCTTTGTAGTGACCTTCCCTCAGCGAACTCACAAACCACAATTCTTACTCTCCAAAACTAAGGATTGGCTGATCAACTTCTCTAACATTACCATTTTACTCTGGGGCTAAAGGCTCAAAGGAACAATTGCTTTCTGGAAAGTGGACTCAGAGTGCAGGCTCCGGAGACTCAGCACCATTCTGGTGAGCTTCTGTGATGCTTATGGTCATCTGCCCCAACACCTTACCTGAAAGGCAGCCTGCTCTTGGCAGTGAAGCCTCCATATCTCCTTTGCATGGAGCTCAATTTGGAAATGTGTGCCAAAGTGCAGACATAGGGAACCAGACTTAGGTTTGTTTTAGAGGGAACAAGACAGCTGGCAGTCAAATGACCTCAGAGGCGAACCCATTTTTAGTCCATTATTGTGAAGCATCCCCAAAGCAATTAGACCAATTGCTATGAGGAGACATGGCCATCCTCAGAGAACTTGGATTTACAAAGGGCTAAATTCACTCCAAGAGCAGAAAGCAGAGGCTGACAAAAACAACACATATCATGGCATGCTCTCAGCTCTGAGTAGCCACTGTAAGACACAGATGAGTTGCAGCCACGTCTCCTCTGAGGCTCTAATCCCTGGCCAAGTCCTTTCAGTGACAATGATCCACACCTCAAGCTGAAGGTTGAGAAGCCCTTTTGTAGCCCAAAGAGGTAGGCCTGGTTTGTAAGTGCCCTGACTAGAGAGGGGCAGGTGCACCTAGGATGCAGTGGCCATGCTCAACACACAGGACCAGTCACCATCCACTTCAGCAGCCCCAAGGCAGGCCTGAGAGCACAGTGGCTATGGGGAAACGCTCAGGCCTCTTACCTGGTTTCCAGTGATTTCTGTGGCAATGGAGGTGGCCCCACTGTAGGAGAGCTACATCCCAGAGGCATCTGCACCAGAGATAGAAGAGTCATGGTAGAGGACAGTCTGTCTGGTGACCACCCACCATCTTTCCCCCTTCTTTGGATGATTCCTTTTAGGGAGACATTTTCTCCCTGGGTACAGCCATGGTGGACACATCACTATAGATGCCCAGCTCTTTCAAGATGCCAAGGGGGTATGGTAGGCCTATCGGTCCATCTGGGCCAGCTTGCCTCTCCTTCCTGGGCCCTAGAGCTTAGATCATGTTCATATCCCAGCAGTAGATTCCTGAGACCTGGGTTCCTGGGCTTTTTCTGCTCCTGCCCTTTCTGAGCTTGGTTCTTCAGCTTTTCCTTTAACTCATGAGCCATTGCATCCTCTTTCAAAAACATTCCTTTTGGCTTAGGTTAGCCAGAGTCAAATTTTGTTGCTTTCAATGAGAGAATCCCATTTGATATGGTTACCCAACAAACATCAGCAGCATCTACTCCCTGCCAGGCCCTGTGTCAGGTCTGGAGCAAGTACTCCTCACATCTGGGAGACAGACAAGTAAACTAGGGTAACAGAACAATGCAACATGTTCTTATGGCACCAACACCTGTAATACAATATGGGAACAGTGGGAGAGAGGGGCTTCCTCTCACTGGTGGGAAAGTTGGGAAAGCTTTAGAGAGGAGAATAGCTGAGCTGAATTTTGAGAAATGAGAACTGGCTAAGGCAAGAAAGGAAAGAATATAACAGGTGGAGTGACCATGAGCTAATGATGGTATGAAAGAATACAGTCCTGTCTGTCTTCAGTATTGTACCTTCTACAACACTGTGCCTTCAGTAGCGCACCTGGCATCACAGGTGGAGCCACCTTGAGCTAACGGTGGTTATGAAGGAACACAGTCCTGTGTCTCCAGTATTGCCTCTTTTCTCTAGACCCCAGCATCATCTTGGTCTACTACAAGAACAGCCCTGGCATTATAGTATAGTTTTAAAAGCCTGGGCTTTGTGGTTAGACCTGGGTTCAAGTCCAGATTCTGCCAGGTACAGTGTTCATCACAGTGACCACATGGAGGTATCCAGTAAGTCTTGGACAGCACTATTCTGTAACTGCCAGCAATCTGGGGTGCTTGTTCTGAGTCATTAACTAGATCACTGGATGAATGTTTTGTCCCTCTGTTAATTAAAAAGGTTGAAGCGGGCCACTAAGATCCTTTAGAGTTGACTGTCTGGAGTTTCAGGAATCTTTTGAACCATAGGCTGAAGCCCCTCCTTCACTTGAGGTCTTGTTTATTTGTATCTAGCCTAAGTCCAGAGAGATTCAAACAATAGGGACCAGATTTTACACAAATGAAATAGATGAGAAGGAAAATCTGTGTCCTGGCTATAGGGGGTATCTGTCAAGCCAGAATGCAGCATTTCAGAGGTTGCAGTTATTCCTCTCAATGAGCAAGACATGTTCGTTCATTTGTTCATTCAACAAACATTTTTTTGAATTCTACTGGGTATCAGGCATGATTGCAGACCTTGGAGAAAGAGTGGAAGATAAATCAAACACCACCTTTGGCCTATGCTTATATTCCAGAGAAAAAAACAAAAAAAGAAACTAAGAGCCTGATTAAAAAGGAGAATTCTTATCCTTGAAAGTTCCAGTATCTACCATGCTGCCCTCCAACCAGAGCACAGGCCAGAGCCTCAGCCTCTTGCTCCACTATCCCCATCACAGCCTGAGGGGCACTTCGTTAAGTATTCACCTGTGAAGATATGTACCTGATATGTGTCTGACTAGATCCTCCCACAAGCTCAGGGCAAGCTCAGAGGACCTGCTGAAACCCTACATCATGGATGGAAACACTGTACCTCTTGTTTAAATAATTCTTCAGGGCCCTTATTTGTAGTGTTCCACTTTCTGAAACCTCCCTCTGGTTCCTCTTCATTGATTGAGGGAGTTCTCTCTGAAGGCCCTGCAAGCATTAATGCAGAAAAGAGTGAACTGTTGAATTCATACTGTGGGAATTGTTCAGAAACCTGTAATTGTACCATGAAATTCTAACATTGTTTCTCCTTCATTATGAAGGACTAAGAAATATATAAAGGAACATTAAGAGTGTGATTCTGAAGATTCTTCAGGGCATCTGAGCATGGGCTGGCATCAGGATCATTTCAAGGTCAAAGCTTATCTGCAGAACAGAGGTAATGTATCCCCTGCCTCCAAACGTCTCACTCCTTAGCCATAGGCAATTAAAGCCCTGAGAGTGACTTGACCCATGATCTTAAAGGATTAAAGAGGGCTGTGAGGCCAGGTGCATTGGCTCATGCCTGTAATCCCAGCACTTTGGAAGGTTGAAGTGGGTGGATCACTTGAAGACGGGGGCTCACGACCAGCCTGGCCAACATGTTGAAACCCCATCTCCACTAAAAGTACAAGAATCAGTGGGGTGTGGTGGCGGGTGCCTGTAATCCTAGCTACTCAGGAGGCTGAGGCATGTGAATTGCTTGAACTTGGGGGGCTGGATGTTATAGTGAGCTGAGATTGCGCCATTGTACTCCAACCTGGGCAACAGAGTGACACTCCGTCTCAAAAAA